TCAATTTTGTGCCTGCACTTCATATCTGAGAGTCAAATAGAACCGACAAATACTGTGTTTAAAGCGCAGTTTTAAAAATTCTAATTCTTTAGGTGCTAAAAAGTCAATTTTGTGCCTGCACTTCATATCTGAGAGTCAAATAGAACCGACAAATACTGTGTTTAAAGCGCAGTTTTAAAAATTCTAATTTTTTGGGTGCTAAATAGTACATTTGCGCCCTCTGGTGCACTTGATATTTGAGAGTCAAATAGAACTGTCAAATACTGTGGTTACAGCACATTTTTAAACATTCAATTTTTTTAGGTTCTAAATAATACATTTAGGGCCTGCACTTGATATCTGACAGTCAAATAGAATTGTCAAATACTGTGCTTACATTGCAGTTTTAAACATTTACATTTTTTAGATGCTAAATAGTACATTTGGGGCCTGCACTTCATATCTGAGAGTCAAATAGGACCGTCAAATACTGTGCTTAAATTGCAGTTTTAAACATTCACATTTTTTGATTGCTAAATAGTAAATTTGGGGTGTGCACTTCATATCTGAGAGTCAAATAGAACCGTTAAATACTGTGGTTACAGCGCAGTTTAAACAAATCTAATTTTTTTGGTGCTAAATAGTACATTTGCGGCCTTCGGTGCACTTCATATTTGAGAGTCAAATAGAACCGTCAAATACTGTGGTTACAGCACATTTTTAAACATTCAAATTTTTTAGGTGCTAAATAGTACATTTGGGGCCTGCACTTCATATCTGAGAGTCAAATAGAACCATCAAATACTGTGCTTATATTGCAGTTTTAAACATTCAAATTTTTGTGCTAAATAGTACATTTGGGGCCTGCACTTCATATCTGAGAGTCAAATAGGATCGTCAAATACTGTGCTTACATTGCAGTTTTAAACATTCAAATTTTTTGGGTGCTAAATTGTACATTTGGGGTGTGCACTTCATATCTGAGCGTTAACTAGAACTGGCAAATACTGTGCTTACATTGCAGTTTTAAACATTTAAATTTTTTAGGTGCTAAAAAGTCCATTTGTGGCGTGCACTTCATATCAGAGAGTCAAATAGAACCGTCAAATACTACTGTGACATAGCAGTTTTAAAAATTCAAATTCTTTAAAAAAGTGAAAAATAAGTGTTATTGTGATCGCTTCATTAATGAGCCATTCGCAGTTTCACTGTTGCGGCTGTGCGCGCTTTCAGCGTTTTCACCCTGCTGCTGCTTGCCTCTCTGTGCTGTATTGAAACTTCGGCCTTCACGCTTACTGCCTCATATGCGACATGCTCACAAGGTGGCACTCCACCTTGCACATGCTGGAGAGACTGTGCGAGCAGCAGCAGGCGATAGTGGAGTTTTAGCTACAGCACGCATGGGTCAGTCGTTCTGCACCAGACTTGCCCTCCAATAGATCCTCGTTAAAGGATTTAAAGTGGACTCATTCCAATTACAGGGCCTGGAAAGAGTCCTGTATTGTTATTTATCGTTACTACCTCTACGCGTCGGGAGTGGGTAATTTGCGCGCCTGCTGCCTTCCTTGGATGTGGTACCACAGCTCCCTCTCCAGAATCAAACCCTGATTCGCCGTTACCCGTGGTCACCATGGCAGACGCAGAAAGTAACACTGAAAGTTGATAGGGCAGACATCCGAACATCCGGTCACCGCCTCCTCAACCTCCTAATCCACATCCACCTCCTCCTCCTAGAGCAGCGTGCAAAAGCAGAGCAGCTGTCCCCTAGACAGTATGCCTGCTACTGCCCACCACACCAAGGGACCGAGCACACCAAAGCCAGCTCCAAGGAGTTCCCTGGTGTGGCAGTTTGAATAAGGAGAACCCAGCCGGTCCCTTCTCTTCCCCACTCTCTGGCAGACATCTGGCAGTACTGTCTCAGATCCTGAGATATGCCTGGCCAGAAGAAGCTTTGGGTGAGCCAAAACATCTGGCTCCTGCCCAAATGCCCTGCCAAGGTCTCTCACCAGCCGTGTTGTTGGGAAGCCCATTGAAAAAGCGCTCTAGTATGACGAGCTTGGTGATCTCCTCCGGGAACTTGGCTTGATGGGAGTTGAGCCAGTTCTGGGTGGCCCTTGTGATGCGGCATGCCCACTCCGCATGGGAGTCCTTTCCGGGTCTCCCTAAACCTTCGGCGGAATTGCTCGGGGGTGACTGCATACTGTGCCAGGAGGATTTTTGTAATAAAGGGAGAGTCTCTGATCTGCTCTTATGGTACAGCCCGGTAAATATCCGCTGCCTTCCCCACTAGTTTGCTGGCCAGGATGGTGACCCAGTCGCTGGGGTCCATGTCTTGGAGTAGGCACTGGCACTCAAAGTAAAAGCAAAATATAAAAGAAGGGCTGCGCCAAGTAAAAGAATGTTTTTTTTTTTTTTTTTTAAAACAGTCCAAATAACGGTAAAAGTCCAACCTAAAAGTGTCCTCTCTGTCGTCCTTGGATACAGGAACAAGGTCTTCTAATATTGAATATAAAAGATAAAAGAGAGAACAACCGATAGTGCAATATGTATGGTACAGGTGAAGTAAAATATAAGTAGCGAACTCACAATTTTTAAGAGCTTCTGTCCAGCTCTAGGGTAGTGCGCACACAGCGGTATAATCCCCGCTTATGGGATATGTGATGAGTATCGATTCTTCAGAGGTATCCAGAAACTCAAAGAGAACAGAAACAATCCAGATAGTGCTCTCTGCATGGATATATATAGTAGGTGAAAAATAAAAACGTACTTACAAGTACAGAGCAGGCCAACTGCTCTTTGGTGTCAGTGCTGGTGGAATAATCCCCACCTAGGATTTCTTTAGCTGCACAGGAACTTGTGAGAGTGTTGTTAAAATTGGGATAAAAATTTATCATATATATATAAAACTTGCCATGAATAAATGAATAAATAAAGATAATGGGAACTATCAAGTAACCAAAACTTTAATATTTATTATACAGAATTATGTTTCCATTAACGCGTTTCGTCATACAGACGTCTTCAAAATGGAATGCCCTCAAAGTCTTTAAAAAAGACTGGCACTCAAAGTCTTTAAAAAAGTCATCAATGCTTTCTTCTGCTTCCTTGAACTCTTTGAAGGCATTGTATGGCAAGGACATAGGCTTGCACCTCCAAAAAGGTCCTGCTGACGATCTCCTCTGAGGGTGGCTCTCGGTAATATGCCAGGTGCCGGTTCACCTCCTTGTGCACTTCCTCCTCATCTCCGGCCCTGGCTGGGGTTCGTTGCCTCACTGCATGCCTAATCGTCCTCCATGGATGCAGCAGTCAATTTGGCCTTGTTACGCCCACCAGGCATTATTCCTCTGACTCCACATAAGTCCTGCAGTGTAGGTCGCTTTAGAACACTGTAGGCCATGGGTCTGTTGGCAGGGACATAGGATCCCGCTGCTTGCCACCAATTGAAGCGGGACCTGGGTAACCGATGGTTATCTCCTTTGATTAGAATAGGTCAGACCCATTCCCACAGTTCCAGGATACACCATTTGACAATCTTTATTTGGGTACACAGCTTTGCCTCCTGTTGCCTCTTCCTCCTACTCCGCTTCCTCCTCCTCTACCACCTCCTCATCCGGTCAGCGTAACACCTTCACCACCAACTTCAGCACAGCCAGGGGAAAACTCATATGTTTGGGGGAAAAAACCAACACCACGCAGGATCTGTGGACAGGCATGGAACAACAGACCGACGAGTGGTTTTTGCCCCATAGCCTGAAGCCCGGCCTGGTGGTGTGCGATAATGGGCGGAATCTCGTAGCAGCTCTGGGCCTAGCCGGTTTGACACACATCCCTTACCCAGCTCATCTGCTGAATTTGGTGGTGCCAAAATTCCTGAAAAACTACCCAGATATATCAGAGCTGCTGCAGAAAGTGCGGGCCATCTGTGCGCGCTTTCAGCGTTCTCACCCTGCTGCTGCTCGCCTGTCTGCGCTGCAGTGTAACTTCAGCCTTCCCACTCACTGCCTCATATGTGACGTGCCCACAAGGAGGAACTCCACCTTGCACATGCTGAAGAGACTGTGCAAGCAGCAGCAGGCGATAGTGTAGTTTCAGCTGCAGCACGCACGGGTCAGTCACTCTGCGGAACAGTACCACTTCACCACCAATGAGTGGGCCTCCATGTGAGACCTGTGTGTCATGTTCCACTATTTCGAGTACTCCACCAACATGGCCAGTGCCGATGATGCCGTTCTCAGCCTTACTATCCCGCTTCTATGTCTCCTTGAAAAAATGCTTTGGAAGAGGATATGGCACAGGTGGAAGAGGAGGAAGAAGAGGGGTAATTTCCACGGTTATCAGGCCAGTCATTCACAAGTGGCACAAAGGGTGGGTTCTGCACCAGCATAGGCCAGGTACACAGTTGTCCAGCATCTCCACACTGTCCCATGGAAGTGTTCAGCTGTCCATCTCCCAAACACTGGAGAGAAAGAAGTATCCCCCTACCCTCCCACGATCCCTGGCCCTGAATGCCAGGATTTTGGGGCTACCGAAATTAAAAAAATAAAAACTTTAAAAAAAACAAAACAATGTTGACTACCTCCTCTGCTTCCACCGCCGCTTCCACCTACACCGCCATGGTCACTGCCTCCTCAACCTCCTACTGCACATCCACCTCCTCCTCTTAGCGCAGGGTACAAAAGCGGAGTGGCGGTCCCCTAGACAGTATGCCTGCTACTGCCCACCGCACTGAGGGACCGAGCACACCAACGCCAGCTCCAAGGAGTTCCCTGGTGTGGCAGTTCTTCAGACGATGTGCTGACGACAAGACACAAGTGGTTTGCACGCTTTGCAATCAGAGCCTGAAGCGAGGCATAAACGTTCTAAACCTGAGCACAACCTTTATGACCAGGCATCTACATGCAAAGCACAAGCTGCAGTGGAGTAAACACCTCAAAAACCAAGAAAGGCTCCTTCTGCTTTCTCTTCTGCTGCTGTCTCGGCCTCTTCCTTCACCTATGGAGTGACAGTGGCACCTGCTACCCTACAAACAGAGGATGTGGCAGCAACAAACAAATAAAAAATATTGTTGGCTACCTCCTCCTCCTCCGCTGCTTCCACCTACACCACCACGGTCAACGCCTCCTCAACCTTTGGGTCATTTAGTATAAACTATGTACACAATAGTAGCGGCTTGTGAAGGCCTTTTCTCCATGCATCAGGAGTTGAGCTCAGTTTGAACAATGAAAGAGAATACCCTGCACTCCAACACTCTCTCAAATGAATAATTCTGGTGATCCTCTTGAAAGCCATGCTTTAGATTTTGATTTTTTTTTCTTCCAAAGCTAAAATCAAAGATTCCATCTAGTGCTATTTTATGGCTCAGCTGTATTTTAATTTTTTATGTATTTTATGTTATTTTACGTGATTTCCAACTGGCTCAACTGTTGGTCTACTCACCCATCACCTGATATAGTAGAATTCCTAATCACCGGGTTCACCCAAGGTTTTCACACCAGTATTATTTACCTCCCCTTAGGCATCATAGAATGTACTAATCTCCAAACAGCATTAAAGGACCATTTAAGGCCCTTTTACTGTATGGTGCACTAATCAACAAGTTCTAAAAAAAAAAAAATTGATCATTACATGTTGGCTCCTCATTCTATCACTATGCCTAGCCTTAATTATTTGATCCCATCTGAAGACTTCACTTTTCAATATGCAACCATTGACAATTCCATTTGAGCCATAAGTTCACCTAGCATTGGTGCCTGGTTAAGTAAAACAGACATTGTGAATACTTCCAAAATCCTCCCTAGTCACCTGTTATTGTGGCATCCACATGGGATCAAGTGGAGAGACCAGTACTAATATTTAACCAGACTTACGTTTAGCTCAAAAGGCAGCCATAGGCTTTTTGACATTTTAACTAAAACACTGTGCTGGCTCTTACTTAACATATGTAGCAATCCTACAGTCATTATTTGGATGATTTCCCCACATTTAAGTGCAACACCAAGTCCCCATGCAGCTTAAAGGATACCATTAATTTATTCACTCAACTTGGTGTTCCAGTTTGAGTTTCTAAAACTGAATGTATCGATACTAAAATTAACTTCTTAGTAATCCAACTAAACTCTGTGGACATTGAAACCAGGCTCCTTGGAGATAAAAATTACTTGCATCCTCTCTAGCATTGAGAGGTTTGTCTGCAGCAGTGGTTGTGTAACCTCAAATAACAACAATCTCTACTTCTTTCACTTAATTTTGATATGAGAATCATCTTAATTGCTCAGTCTGTTACCAGGTCTCTCCAACTATGAGAGTCAGGTAACTTTGAACACACAGATGGCAGATCTTTGAATGTGACAGGTTTCTACTTCAGTGAAAGTCTATGCTTCTTCACCTCTGTCGATACACCCATAGTCTGGAGAGATGGAGAGATGCCGCAGCTTCAACATGTTTTGCAGCATTATTTGAGGTTTACTCAATAGTAGCTGCATCCCATGCCTGCTGCCATTTTGGTCTGGTTTGATGGTGAGATGGTTTTCTGACATTTACCTTTCTTGACTATTATGAGGTTTATTAGGTGGTTGGCCTTGTTAGTCCCTACCTACCATCTTGTTCTAATATGCTTACATGTCCTAGGAGTCCTTAATGTGGTAGCTGATGCCTTATCTTTAAATTCTCAGGGTTTTGTCAAGGCACATCCAACTGCCTCCAGGCAAGCAACAGCAATCCTTAGTTTTCAGAATCTAATATTGAACTAAATAGCCTTATGAAGTGTAAAGTGCTAAAGGCGACTTAT